ATGCTGACAGGTCCTACTGGCCGTCTAGTTACTTGTGTAGGTAATAGTGAACTAGGTTACTTAAACCTTTTAAGACAGGAACAAAATTCACAGTGACCCTACAAGCTAGGAAAGGTCAGTCCTAGCTAAAATCTTGATCGATTTTAGGATTCTAGGTGCAAGAGGTCAAAGAACTGAAGGCTTCCACCCATCCTGTCCTGCTCCTTTTCCCTAAAGAACCTCTGAAAATCTTTCACTAAAGTCCTGTTTATCCAGTTAATGAGCTGCCAGGATAATCTGTAGTCCCAAAACAAGTAATGGCCTAATAAGTGCCTGAACATACAGAGGATTTACTGAGGCAAAATTATCCTAAAAACCATTCTCAGTCTTCTGAGAGCTCTTTCTAAAGCATTAGGTTTACGATGGTCATTCAAAAAGAAGGGGAGGGGAAAGAGTCAACTTCATTCTCTTACAATGTTTCCTCAACGATGTGATTTAAGGGTGGAACATGAACTGGTTTGACAGTGTTCTGTTTTAAGCAGTGACTTGATGGAGCATGTGTTGGGTGATTTATAGACTGATGGCTGAAGCAACAAGGGGCCTAGAATATCTTCTTAATGACCTAAAGCTGATGTGGCATCAGCTACAAGAGACTGCTGTTTCCAGGAAGAGCTCACACTGCAAAACAGGCTGCCGTTTGCAGCAAACCACACATGACACCAGCCTGAGCCAGTGACTTGAAGTAGCACATGCAATAATAGCTGACCTGCAGTAAAGTGTTTCATAAAAATGGCAAGCATGACAGACAGCCATTTCAGTAAATACAGGGCTGGTAATTGGCAATTACATTGAACTGCCCTTAAATGAGAACTGGGGCATATGTAGATACTGAACACCACACCGGGACCATTTAAAATGAAGGGCTTACTTAAAAGGGGGTGCAGCCAAATAAAGATAGTTCACCAGAACTATGATGTCAAGTGACCGTCTTAAGGGCTGATTATTCCCAGAGGATGATGCCATTGTTAAAGCCCTGGATTTGTCCAGGCTGCTGTGGCTGTGCTTCCCTCCTGAAGACAACCTAGACACGCTGATCCAGATTCAGAAGAGCAGCCCATCCGCAACCCTAAACCTCCACCAGACCTGGGAATCGGTCCACATGACGGCCATCCGCAACCCTAAACCTCCAACAGACCTGGGAATCAGTCCACATGACGGGACAGCCAAGCTGATTCAGAGACACTGGAAACAACTTTCAACCCGGAGTACCCACTGGCTGCCCAAATTAAACAGGCAACCTCAATATTCGTGGAGCCTGTTCTAGATTCTGTTCATAAGAGGATGCTTTCCTGACAAGACCCTGGCTCCATGATGTTTTATCCTGGACAGAAACCAACTATATCTGACCTAAATAAAAGCTACCTGCTAAGGAAAGGGTACTCCTGATGACCTAGAAAAATACTGAATGCATCCTAACACCTGACAGACATCCACTCCAACCCAAGCACATCAAAGTATTTTCCAAAATAATACTCAACAAAATGGGGACGACTTCACAATTCCTCTAAGTACCAGGGAAAGGAGGTATTTAATGGTAAAGAAAAATCACATCTCTAACTGGCTATTCCAGCACTCCCATTTCATGGTTGGGAAATTGTATTTTACCAGCCATAAAATTATGTTTTAGGGTGAATCTAACCTGGAATTTCTTTGTGTAAAATTTTAAAAACATTTACTTGGCCATTTCCAAAAAATCAATTTTAAATATCCCAGTGCTCTCATACATTTTGAACCACAGAAGTTACTCAGTCTGGAACTTTAAGTCAGGCCCTGAATTATGAATTGAAGTTAATGTTGTGATACTCTAGGAACCCTTGGCTATCTCACCTTTCCCGCCCAGGCCAGACGCAGTGACCCCAGCTCAGGGGCTGCGTCAGGGGGCAGTACCCACGGTTTCTCTTCCCCTACATTCTTCCAGGAAGGGGCACAGCGACTGGTGTGGGAGCCTGTCACACAGAGAAGTGTCCGCACTCTCGGACCATATTTTTAAGCATGCCAAACATATTTAAGATTTTCCCCCCAACTCATTGCAAAAAAAGATATTTCTAAGGGCTTGCTGATTTACTTTAGGACCGGAATATTCTACCTCATTGCCAATGATTTTTTTTCCCGACAAGGAGTTCCCACTCTCACCCACCCACTCCCTGGTTTCTTCATATCCACCTAGATCAATGTTCACCTCCCTGAACCATGCAGGATTGGCTCTTCTCCTGTGGGTAGACTCAGTTCTCTGCTGTTTTTCTTTTGGCATGTCTAGTCACTCCCTAAAAAACCCACTTCTAGTTATTTCACTCAGCCACATGGGTTTTCCCATTCTCTCTATGTCCAGCTCCATTTTCTGACTTCATTTTGCAAAACTATGGACACAAACCTCTGAGGACTGTGATGGATTCAGAAACATGAGCCGGTTTCCAAATCCAAATAGGAAGTTAGCGTTATTGTGTGAGTTTGCTGCCAGCACCCCAGCATGGGAAGTTAAATTCTCCTGCCTGTCACTGCACACACCAGTCATCTCTGTCGTCATTTAAAGTAAGTCTACTTCAGGCTGGGCCCTGTGGCTCACACCTGTAATCCCAGCACTTCGGGAGGCCAAGGCAGGATGATCGCTTGAGCCCAGGACTTTAAGACCAGCCTGGGCAACATGGTGAAACCCCATCTCTACAAACTATACCAAAAAGTTAGCTGGGTGTGGTGGCACGTTCCTTTATTCCCAGCTACTCAGGAGGCTGAGGTGGGAGGATCACTTGAGCCCAGGAGGTGGAGGATACAGTGAGCTGTGATCACACCACTCCACTTAAGCCCAGGCAGCGCAAGACCCTGTCTCAAAAAAAACAAAATAAGTTTATTTCAGTACCTATTGAAAAAAACAGTAAGACGCACAAAATCAATCTTTTCCCAAAGGAAACCTTCCACAAAGGGGACCATGGTGTTCTACAATGCAGAAATATGGATTCAAGAAGAATCAACACCACCACCAGATAATGGAGAGAGGTGTAAATCAAACCACGAAGCTAAAGAATTCCATTTCCAGATGTGGCGTTAAGATTTTATGACTTTGTAAGTCCAAACAAGAAGATAAATACTTGTGCAAAAACAAAGTTAGAGTATAACAAATTACAGCCGCACTTCCATCTTCAACTATTCCTCTTTCTCTATCTTAAGCTACCTTCTTTTCTAATGGAGACTTGTGGGCTGTGCAAATACAAACAGACATCAGGAAGCCAGGAGCAGGTCAGTCTGCTGTGCCTCATCCCTTCTGGCTGCTGCACCACAGCTGAGCAAACCATTTGTCAAGACAAAGAGAAATGTACAGTGAGTAGGAATCTTTGGTGTCTTGCTTGGACTATGAAACACGAAAGCAAGGCTAGCTCCTAACAGCTCACCCTGCCCGGGTCAGGTCTCCTGTTGTCATTTCACAGGCCAGCTCTCAATTTCTCATTTGCTCAATACAAAGCTGCTTCAAGATTCCTGAAGCACAAAAGGGCCTCCACTGCTCCACAGCATCACAGGTGTGGTTCCTTCCTCCACTGCCCTGCCTGTGCATGAGGGGCCTGATGAAGACCGAACCAGTGCTCCGGAGGCACAACCAACAGACCTGTGGCTGCCCTCGGGGCTCCACAGAGATGCCCACAAAGCACAGAGAGAGCCGAGGCTTCCAATTTCCCTCCACACCGGCAGGCTCACGTCCGTTACTTGCTTCTCACCTGCAGAACTGGGCCCAAAATAGAGGGGAGTGGAATTTGATATCCATAAAAATCAGTTGTTTATGGTCTCATTTTCAGCTCACAATTATTCTGTGTTTTCCGCTCTTGGTGGTGGTTTAACATGGCTGGGCTCTAAGTATAATCCTGCCTCTTGGAGCAGGCTGCAAAGCAGCAGAGGGTTACTCATACAACACGGTGGGGCCTTCTAATGAACCCCATTACTCAGAAGGCAGCATTTCCATGCAGAGTGAGTCACCAGCAGGCACTTGGCTTTGCAGGGCTCCAGGTGACCTGTTTGCATTTACATCCAAGATCCCGAAGTGGGTTGTACAGTTCCTGTTTCTCTACAAAGTGCAGCTTATTAGCAAAAGCGAATAGAATTTTAAATAATGACCAGTGTTTTTACAGGCTACATTTAGTTTATCTCCCCATCCCACCCAGCTTACCCTCCCTGAAAAAACCCACTATGAAATGGCTTCACAAGTTAATCAGTTTGTTTTTATAAAACACTTATAAAAATAATGATGGCTGTCTTCTTACCTACATATGTGAGACCATACTTTCTTCACCTGATAAAACTCCTAAAAACCAAAGTAACAGTTTGCATAGGTATACTTAATTTTGTGCAAATCTTACTAAAATAAGGCCATCTTCAGTGTTTAGATAGTGTCATGCTGATTAAAGTAAGCCCTCAAGAAATAAGAAAAATTCTCTGCATTCCAAATTCTCTCCAAGGACATCCGACTTCCCAGGCAGAGAGCTGAGACCAGTGGCTCTGCCGGCACCATAAGGCAACACACGTCCTGGAAGTAAAATCCAAAGGGACAGATGATATGTGCTTTCGTGATGGAGGCAGGAGGGGCTCCGTCTTTATTCTTCCTTTACAAAACAGAGGCCAAAATGCAGGAGGCAACAGGACCATCCGTGCAGTTGCAGGTGTACAGTCTTCCTGTGGTGCTGCTGCTGAACAGCTGGGATTCTGACATGGGGCACTTCTGGACATCACTGAACCCCAATATTGCTTGGTGTGATCTGAGCTGCAAGATGAATCACTCAAAGGGATAGGAGAATGACACCCAAAAAATATAAGGAGGAAAAAACGAAGCAAAGAAAACTGCCATGGGAGCAACCAGCTTATGAGACTTACATTCTATATATAACATAAGGTGGAAAGGCCCGGCTAGAGAGAGAGAGGAAAGATACAGAAAATTCCCCTCCCCACAAATCAAGTATTGTCAGGAAACATTAAAGTAGAAATCTTTGTAAGCAGCTTTGCATTTAACATTCAGTCAAAACATTAAACCTTACAAAACAAGACCTCTATTTAAAAAAAAAAAAAAAAAAAAAAGGTTAACAACAGGAGTCCTCAAAGTCACCCAGTATCTTGTAGCACAGAATGGAGTGTTCCTGGGCCAAGGCTGCCAGCTCCTTCAGGAACTCTGGGAAGAGGGCAGCAGCCAGCATGGGGTTCCTCACTGGCAGGGGCAGGTTGGGGGGTGCCTCAGCCACCTTGGTTCGGTGGGTCAGGAAGGGCTGAAGCACTCTTGGAGGTCCATCCAAAAGGTTCTTGCCACTTCCTGTCCTGGAAGCCTCCTGAATGGGATCTGAAAGCAGAAAGAAGACCATGATGGTGTCCCTCCATAGCCTTCCCATCCACCCTCTTCAGTGGAGCATGTGTTTGGGGGCAGAGTTGCTGGAGAGTATCTAGTCATGAGTGCAGTTCCTATACTGGACTAAATCCTGAAGATGCAGCCCTTGTGCACTCCATGACACACACATTTGCCCAACGGATATCCTCCAGCATATAGCATGTGATATGAGACTTTCACCCAAAATTCCTTCTAAGAACTTCACGCAGAAATCATGGAAAGAATATAGGTTTGTCAAGAACCCTCCATGCCAGAATATGGAAATGGGGAAAACGGACAAAGGCATCTCCTGTCACTGGCTTATTAAGGGGCGATGAGTAGCCCCACCTGCTCTCCCAGCCTCCAATGCTGGGATGACTGTTCTCCCTTTGCCGGTGAAGCCCTGACAGCACAGCATAGCTCCAGCAGGGAGGCTGGGTGAACTGGGTCACTCCAAGCTCTCTGCAGCGGGTGCTCCAGCCTCTCAGGCTCCCCAGTGACCTCCAGTCTTCTTCTGGCTGGGACCGCCAACGTTTTACATAAAAGGAGAGCGGAAGATTCCTTGAGGTCAGCAGAAATAATGGAAGGGAAGTTGGGTGCTGGTAAGACCAGAGTAAGAACTTCCTGCAACCATGGGGAATTAGTATCAAATGGCTTAGAAGCCTACATTGAAGGAGGGTTGCCAGGGGTTTCCATCTCAATTTCAATAACATAGGCCTAAGATGAGTTCAAACTTTAACATATCCAAGTGATTTGCATTTTCTTATCAAATTACTTTTTACTAATTAAAATGGTTCAACTTCCCTATTTGATTCCTGAACATCACCAGCCCTCATATATTTGTAGGAATTATTTATGCCTTCCTCTGCCCCCTACCCAAACAATCTCATTACTCCTTATAAATCATTATATTCAAGTTCTTCATTATTTTGGCTGCTTCTTAGAATTCAGTACCATTTTTCAACACTCTTCTCAGAGTGTTGCTTAACTACAGTACTAAAAATTCTTGACATTTATAATACTTTCCACATCTCACTACTATAGTCTTTAGTGTTAAAAAAAAAAAAAAACTTCCACTTTCCTGCTTTAAATATCCTTTTAGATTAAGACTTATCACAGCTTTAATGCCATAAAGAGCTGGAAAAGTTGCTGAGAATCTGTCTTCTGCTACCTTTCAGCAGAAATTCATGCCCCGGCAACAGAGTGAGCACAAAAGTGCTGATATCACTGAGGTACATGTCAACCTTGGAGAGCACTCCTTCTCATCCCCAACCATAGCTCAGGCGCTGTCACTCTCCAAAGCACCCAGCAAAGCTCACAAAGGAAGCTGGCCTGCATTCCAGTGGTGAATGGGACACTGTGGACACTAACTCCCAGACCGAGACCTGCACTGCTCATGCTGGTTCCTCCACCTGGAATTCCCTGCCCCATTTCTCTGCTCACCTAAATCTTACTAGCCTTAGAGGCATTATTAGTATAGTGGTTAAGACCACAGAGTCTGCCACTTGCTGGCTGACTTCAGGCAAGTTGCTTTACCTCTCTGTACTTCGATTTCCTCACCTGCCAAAAGCTCATAGAGTTGTTATAAGGATTAAATGAGTCAATAGGTGTAAAGTACACAGGGAATTCTGAATGGGTGTCAGCTACCACATCATCCTCATCAGTACAGTTGCCACCAAGTTCACAATGAATTTCCAGTTTCCTGCCCCAGAATTCATTCCTATAGTCTTTATGCCTTCCTCTGCCCTCTACCCAAACAGTCTCATTCTAGCCTCCTCCCCATGTTATTGACCAACTAAGGCCTGCACTGCCCTTCAGCCTCACATTGTTTATGTTTTATCTCCTCTACTAGACTCCAGCCTTTCTCAGGGCTGAGCCCTATCTGATAACATGTCTTTAGCAACCCCTAACACACTTCTATATTCATAGTAGGAGCTAATAAATATTTGCTGAATGAATGAGTGAACGAACTGATCTCATCAGTCTTCCCTACTCCTGATGCTCCCTACAGCTGCTCATATTCCTCATCTCCCCATTCTCCTTCAAATTCATTCATTCTCTTCTCCCCTAAAAAGGGGTTTTGTGATTCATTTATCTAGCTTGAGCTGTGAATAAAAAGTGTCATTGCTAAGGCTCATTTACTCAGTATGAATCCAAGAATCAGAACTGTCTTCACTAATGAAGACAGGAGAACACCCAGTGAGGGAGACCAGGGGCTGGCCGGGAGATCCATAGCACAATCCCATCAGCGGCTGCAGCATGTTGACCCGGGCTCCCCTCCGGGGTCTTGGCCTTTCAGTGTGTCACCAAGCACCCTCAAATTCTCCATTCAAAAGCAAACAGACCCGAGTTATGGTCCCTACCTGGCCACCAGCTCATCACAGAATGTCTCAGTTTCCATCTCTGTAAACTGGCGACATTACCTACCTGATCTCCCTTCTAGAATTAGTGCCCAGTAAAAGGGCTCTGAACATAAGTAAATACAGTGAACTGTTACTCTGTGGTTTGGAAAGTATTTGAGTAGAAAGAGAAAGGCCTGGCAAATGGCTGAATCTCAGAGACCAACAGCCTCAAGAATAATAATGTGGAACTGGGAACAGGACATCCGCTTGCTCTGGAGCAGCAGCCACACAGACTTTTACCGCTGTTGGAAGCATTAGTGAGAAGGCTCGTTTTTCACGGGGCTGCCAGGAGGCGAAGGGAATGCAGGGCCTGCATGATGGAGCTGCTCTGGCTGCAGGCGCCTGAGTTACGCCCCTCATAAAAGGGTCCAACAAGCATGCACGAGCACCTGAAGAAAAAGGCAGGGCGAAGGGAAGTATAAATAAATGTCAGAATTAGGAATGGCTTCTGAAATGTTGCCCTGGGTCTGAAAAGCTGCAACAGAAGGTTTTCAAGACTAATACTGGGAAGATTTCAGAAGTGAGGAGAGAGATACGTTATGTGTTCATGTCCCCGGCAGCAGTATTAGGCAAAGGGCAGAGCACGCAGACACTTGGACCAGGCCCATTACCATAATTCTTCATTGTAAACTGCTCTGCATCCCAGTGAGAACAGGCCTCCCAGATCTGAATCATTTATAGGAAATCACGTCACAGTAAATGCTTCAGAAGTCAGCTTTGTATAAGGGGACAGGAAACTCTCATTCTGTCAGTTAAAGATGCTTTAAGTGGGGGAAGAGTATGACTTGGCTAACCTGGAAAAGTTAGAAAGTTAATCTAAAAAAAACTCAAGTAGAAGAAAAGTGTTATATCCAGAGAGAAGATTCTTACAGGTCAAAGCCCTGGAGTGTCACAGACCTTGCTTAAGGAGCATGGAACCCAGCTAACTAATTTGACAACCTTAGGCAGTGAGAACAAGTTCCCCAGGCATATATTTTGAAATCATGGCCTCCAGATATTCTGAAACCAGGACAAGTCCAAGGTGTGAGTGACCCTCACCCTTTCCCTGAATGTGAGGGTTAAGGCTCAGTGTACCCTGAGTATCTAGTATATCTCAGTGTATCTAGGTTGGTCAGTGTGTACACTCGTCTCTGAATTAGCTAAGATGGGCTCAGGCACTTGAGTTTCACGATCCTGGCTGAATACCCTGGACCTCTAATTTTGGCTTCCTTAATGAAAATGAAGCTAATGGTACCTTTTTTGCCCTTTTCAGAGTGCTATTTGATAACGAAAATTGACCGCCTGAGAAAGCACCTTATAAACTGTAAAATACAATGAAGACTAGGCCTTGTCTAGGAGGCTACAGAATGCCCACAACTTGTTGCAGCTCCTCCCATCAAGCGGTAGGGTTTTTGCTCCATTCTTCAATCTGCGCTGGCCCTGTGTCTTGCTTTGGCCAACAGAATGCTGTAGAATGGACCTTACATAAGCTCTGAGTCTGAGCCTCTAAAGATTTTCTATGCTTCTGCTCTCACTCTTGGAACCCTATTAACTGTGACATGGACCAGCCTGGGCTACTCTGCCGGATGGTTAGGAACACCCCCATCACTCTCATCACTCCAGCCAACAGCCACAGATGTGAGGCCATCCTAGACATCCAGCCACCCACTGATGGCAGCCACACAAGCGAATCCAGGCAAAATCACCCTGGCCCAGATCAGCAAAACACCCAGATGACCACACAGATTCATAAGCAATCATAAATGGCCTTGTGCTAAGCCAGTGAGTTTCTGCAGTGGTTTATTATACTGGTAACTGGTGCACCTTCTCTCGCGGGGTAGGTGGCAGCAACATGCGCCCTGTTCAGGAGGAACACAGCTCACACACTGACCACCCGTGTGTCTAAGGAGGCCACGTGGCACCTGAAGTCCACCTTCCCATGGAGGTGCCGGGGCCTCTCCCTCCATGAACGCCTTTGCCTGCTCTTCTCAAAGTCCAACAGCCTGAAGCCCGACTCCTCACTTTACCAGTGGCACATGGCCTACCTTTCTTTCAAACCCTACCTTGCAGTACCCTAAGGGCTCATCACAACCCAAGTTCTGGCTTCAGCTAGTAAGCACCTAAGAGATGGAGAACAAATCCTTCATTGAAAAGTCAAGGGACATTGGGCCTGTGAGGTAAAGTGACCAAGATCAAATAGCTGCACAGGGGCAGCGTCAGGCCTTCAGAGTTCTGGGTTCTTTCCAGCTTCTTTGAAAGGTGGAACAATTGCCCTGAGTTTCATTTCCGCCACTCACTGCCAATCTTGTTTCTGATCACTTGCCTTTGGCCCAGGACCGAGAGCCTTACTCTCTCCATTGTTCATCTGCCACAAAGAAGCCTGACTGGTCTGTGTGTGGAAAAGTAAAAGCCAGTGCAATATGTGGCATTCCTACTTTGCTCCTACCAAGGCCTAAGTCACAGCTCAGGGGACAATGGTCAGCAAATCAGTCCAACCAGAGCTTAAATAAGGTAAAGCAGCAGTGGTGCTCCCGGGCCTGGCCAGCCATTCTCAGCGCTCCTACTAGCACCGACCCATCCCCTGCCCCCACTCCTCACTCTGCCAGGGCCCTGGCCTAACGCCTCCTCTAGAGCTCATAAAAAGGCACTCTCAGAGGTTTTAGGCTGAGCATAAACTTTACTTCTCACAGTCCAAACCGTTTTTTTGTTTTGTTTTTTGTTTTACCTCCTAGGGCCCTAAAGCACACTTATTTTTGGCCCAAGAGCCTCTGAAAACATCATAAAGAGAACACATGCCCTCCTCAGGACAGGGCTGCCCAAAAAAATGGCTCGGAGGGTGCACATAATGCCTCTTTCTGGCCCATGTGTGCTGTGTGATTTATTCTAGCCTGACAATACCCTACACATCAGCTCCTTCCAGGCACCACTCTCAGTTAAAAGACCAAATCCCCTCTAGACCCTCCACAGAGGAAACAGGCCAGGTGTGAGCAAGGGAGACCTTTCTTTAGGATTAAGAATGTGAAGAGGTGGTTCCTCCCTGTTGCATAAAAATGAAAATATCTGAATGCTTCTAGGATCCAGAAGCCAGTGCAGCGTCTGTGAACTGAGGCCAGTAGGCTAGGGACGTGGAGGAGGAATTTAAGGAGGGGCACTGTGGAGAAACCTGGCTTACCTTTGGTTAGTGCCTCAGGGGTCATATCAGACATGTCCACACGGAAGAGCAGGTATTGCTGGGCTTGTATGAGGAGTCCTGGGAAGTCTCTCTCCACAGAGGCAAACTGTTCAATCTTGTTTTTCACAGATGCAAGGACCTGTCAAAACAGCATTACTGATGTTAATGCCTCACCATGAAATTCCACTCTCAGTTATCAATATATCTTGCAGGTACAACCCTCATTATGGGAACTATTATGATGTTAGACATTGGCTCATTTTTAACTGCCTGGGTGTTCTGCATAGGGCACCCTCAAAACATCGAACTAAATGAAGCTCTACAGTTTGTTTAGAATAAACTACACAGTGAGCTTAATAGGACAGGGAAGGAAAGCAAATGAATTAGAGCAGAGATGCCCTACAAACTAGCACCCACAAAATCAACAGGTATGGATGTGGGCTCAGCTAACATACCTGATAGAGAGAGCGGACGCTTGGCTGGAAGACCATGTTGGTGTTGAGCAGAAAGGAGCGCAGGAGTGGCTGGGGGTAGCTGGCTAGCTGAGTAATGATCCCAATAAGCAGCAAATTAACATGTAAAGAGTTCTCCAGCATGTTCTCCAGCTTTGACAGGACCACGCTGATGAATGGGCCTGCAGGAAGAACATAAGGCTTCAGGGCTGGCTGGGCTCACACGAATGCCTTTCCCTGACAACGGCAGAACCACTGGTGCCACGGCTCCCAAACCACCACGGGCCTGCAGGTGCAAGCCAGACAGCAAATACGGCCAAGTTTTCTCCTGCCTTGAGACCAAAACAGAAAACAAACCACCACGGCAAAAAGAAAACAGAAAAATAGGCATGGCTACTGACATTTTGATTCCATGAGCAGTTTTGATACTTACTAAAATTATCACAGACCTCAAAAAAAAAAAAACCCAAATAATTTAACTTTTTAAAATTAAAATATGCTTTTCTACATTGTTCCTGTATTTCTTGGGGCTGCCAGTGCTTAACACATGACAGCCATCATCTTATGATGCACAGACTGTATGGACTGTAGCGTTTCATGTAAGCACCAGAGGCCATTGAAAGTCTTAGTAACAAAACATCTGTGTAAAGAACACCAAAAATGCACAAACTATGTTTATCAAATAGCAACACTGAGAACAGGGGTTGTCTATCCTGAACAAGCACACTGAGAAAAATTTGGATTTGTCAAGTGTCATAATGTGGAACAATAAAAAAAAAATGGGTGAGAGGTGGAGGAGTGCCTGGTTATAACCTTAGCAACTCAGTAACCATACCTGAATTTTCAGAGGAGAGAGAAAAGGGTGTCAGTTTGGGGAGATATAGTTCGCCGTGTCATAGATTTCTTAAAAAAGAAAATCCGTATGACTACAAAAGCAGTCATTGAAAAAAAGCAGTTAAAAAAATTAGTCGTACAAAAGCAGTCCATTAAAAAAAAATAGGCAAAAAGAAGTTTCTGCTACTTTGGGTCACTAGAAAATTAATATGCTTTGAGTTCACTGAGGGCAGGGAACACCAAAAATAAATCTGGCATTAATAAACTTACTTGAAGATACTTTAAATTTTTACCATAAAAGTGTTCTGTTAAACACAATGAGAATTTTGCATTTCCCTTGGTGGAGCTACTGATGATGCTACTAAACCATGACATGTTTATAACAAAAGCACACATCCCTTGATAAATAAGCCATGCCTCATGAAGATGTCACCAACATTAACAAAAACATACTTTATCACAAGATGCTTCATTCAGAAGCCCTGGTAGCATAAGAGCGTAAAACTCTTTGCAAGGAACAGAAGCTCTGTGTGTAGAATGGGAACACCAAACCGAAACCTTTACCACACAGGAGGGGAAGAGGGTAACTGCAATATCTCTGTCTCCAGGAACACCGAGGATGTCTCTAAAGGATCTCAACACAAGAGGCACCATCCCCTCATGTGTGGCATTCAGCCTCAACTTCCCCATCCTTGGGATGGGAGGCAGAGGTCTTTAGTCACTTTCCATGACATAAGAGGTCAATGAACTCTTCAGATAGACACTCTTTGGAGATGCTTACAAACAACTGGGAGACTTTGCCAAACACATTTGGAAACTCTGGATAGGGACCCCAGTTTGAAAGCAATGAATGGTTTTCCCATAAAGAACCCCAGAAATGTCAATGGTAACTCTCAAGGCATCGCAACACAATTCTGGCTTTCCAGGTAGATCTAGAGGGGGAAGGCTGCTGTCCTCAGCTTCCTCTCTCCTGCTCCCCTACAGTCCCTGGCTCAGCATCTATTTCCTTCCAGATGGAGCAAAAGCAGGTGAATTAAGACATACTTAGGTGGCCAGAGTCTTCTGTAAAACATATGACCCTAAAATGATCCCTCAACTTCTCTTCCCCAGTCCCAGACTGTGCCTGGCCACATCCAGCCATCCTACAAACTCTAAACTGCTGACCATGCAGTGACCAGGGGAGACCATCCACAGGACATCACTACTATAAGGGGTGAGGTGAAGTGGGAGGTTTCCCACAAGCTTGAATCCCATGCCCTGTGGAGAGGAAGATGATGTCATTATTGACCTATGTGAATGACAGACTATTATTAGGTCAAGGCCAGTAGACTGTAATGATACAAATGGAGTCCACTTTGACATTATAATTAGTGTCCGCTAATTAAATGACTCATCACTTGGGTGTGTGCAATAAAAAATGTGTTAAAACTTTCAAATTCCTACTTTATTCTTAGTTTCTAGCACTACAAAAAAAAAAATCCCTGCTTAACAAAAAGTGCGTAGGGGGATCTGGTAAGCAGCCGAAAATCGAAAGACTCAGCACAATTCAGGAAGCTGCAGGTGTGTCTGGAAGACAGCGGTTTTATTTTCTTCCCACATCTCCTAGGAGCACACATAGACTCCCCGCCTCACAAAGTATTACATTCTTCAAAGTCACTGAGACTATCTCCACTGTGCCTCCTGTCATCCACTCACCGCTCTCCCCTGTTCCCCGGCCTCCATCGAACCTGCACCCTCTTCCTGCACTTCCCCTGTCCAAGAATGGAGCAGCCGTCGACTCTGTGCCTCCACTCAGCAAATTCTACCCTGGACATATCTCCTGATGTGGACCTGAAGCTCCACCTCCCCTGCTCCGCTGCCTGAGGTCAGTCTCATTTCTGGTCTGGACTCCAGCAACAGTATTTCTATGTTAATAGAGATTTAATTTAATTATTATTGAAAACAGTTATTAAGCACATCCTATCTGCCTGGCAGTGTGCTGAGCACTTTTCATGTATCAACTCACTCAAAATTCAAAACAACCCTAGGAAGTATATTTATTATTTATCCCCATTTAAAGAGGAGGCAGAATGCTAAGTGAACCCAGCTTTGAATAATAGAATTTTAATTCGCACCACCTGTTCCAGTGCTCTTACCCAACACATTATCTTGCCTGCCAAGGAGAGAGAGACAGAGAGGCAGAAAGAGAGAGACAGAGAGAGACCTAGCATTTTTAACAATACACCCTGGAGACCACACCTCGTATCAACACATACAGAGCTCATCTCAGGACCACAAAACATTAGATTGCCAGGGTGTTGCACAAGCAAGTCAGTCTCCCACGGGTGGGTATTTGGGTTGTTTCCAGTCTTCTTCTATTCTAAACAATGCTGCAATGAACATCCTTGTATGTACACCTCAGCATACAGTGTGAATACAGCTCTGAGGACATTCCTAGAAACAGAATTACTAGATAAAGGCACTGGCACATTCTGAATTCTGACACGGCAATAAGGGTGTCTCACTTGTTTTTCCTGGCACCAACTTCTCCCCACTCCAGTGCTCAGCACACACTCCTACCAAAGCTGGCCTTTTCAGATCCAGTCACATCATTCCTCAACTTTATACTCCAGGGGCTTCTTCAGTGACAGGGCACAAGGTTTCCATCCCTCAGCTTGGCCCAAAGGCCCTCCATAAGCTGGCACCAACCAAGCTTTCTGCCTTTCTCTCCCACCTCCCCACCCCACATAAACCATGCGGTCACACCCCACAGGATGGCAGGCTCTTCAGTCTCCTCCTGCTGTCTCCTCTGTCTGGACTATCATTCTCACCTGCTTTCACCTGGGGACTTCCTTGCACTGTCCATCCCTCTCCTCTGTGAGGCCAGTCCCACTCCCCTCACTGGGTTCCCACTGGACTTGGCATATGACAACTAATCATGCATTTCCCACTAAGAGAGTACACTTCTTTGTTGGGGTCTCCTCTGAAAGTCTGTGAATTCCTTTAATGTTGTGTCCTTATTTCCTAGCATAGAACCTGCCAAACATCAGGGGATCAATAAAAGATTGCTGAACACATGAATAAATAAAATTAGACAAATGGAATGCTTTGATTTTGCTGGGAAGTGAACTCATTTCAGTGGAAATCAGATGCCCTGGAGAGAAGAAGTTAAGCCTAATGCTACAGAACACACTCAGAAGTTCAGAAACTATAAAGCAGACATACATGGGAAGAGAGATGTTTCCTAAAGCTGTATACAAGGTTCAAAAGAGGAAAAAGGAAGGTTTTGGTGACAATTACCTGTATGCATCAAAGAGCTTGCAGTATGTTTTGTCAGTTCTCAGGTGTATTATATGTAAAATATTGATGTTATTTAATTGGTTGTTGGATTTTTTTTTTTTTTTTACCTTGCCCTGAGCTATACTTTCTTTCCTCTATTTACACATTTCCCAGGAATGAAGCTCCTCTGTAAGAAAGCTGGAATTCTAAAGAATAATCTTCATGGCCATGGGTAGTCCGGATGTCCTACGAGAAGGCAAGCTGTGACATGCCAAGTTACTGCTGCCCTTTCCCTCCAAGTGAACTCTTCCAGCTCCCCCTTCCCTGTCCCCCTTATCAACTGGGAAAAGTGAGATTATCTAATCCATTTTACTTATGATTGACTGACTGATTGAATTTTAATTAAAACTCATTCACACTGAAACGTTATCTCAACTAGAACCGCAAGCCCTTAATTGTGGAATTAAAAGCTTTCTTCCTGTATATACAAATCTTCAGGCATCAGTAAATAGATGAATAAATATTGGAGGAGGAGGCTGGAAAAGCTCCTTGAAATCACATAAGCCTACTTGGCTGGCTGGACCAGAAGGCAATCTGTTATCATCTATTTTGGGTTACTCCAAGAGGTAGGAGCACAGTCCCTCCTCACCAAGCTTCTCCAGGGAGCTACCTGTCATAAAATGAATGATGACCTCCCAGTATCTCATTCAGTCCTCACAGGAGCAAATGGAAGGCCTGGGATGCTAAGGCCACATGCTGCTAAATGCTAGAGCCAGGACTCAACCCCTGGCCTGGCTCCAAGACCACTGTCGCCCTCCGTTGCTACTATCTTCCAGCCCCTCTCCTTGCTACCTAAACACCATCCAGTGGTCCCACCCTGGCCCTCCCTGGGCTTAGTATGCCATCTCATCTATGGCAATTCCCATTGCACCATGATTTGTAAATGCAGATTTTGTTGGCTAATATTTAATGATGTTTTCTATCATAGGTCTTCACCCCAACCTGCCTATCTGTAAATCCTACCCTATCCCTTTACCTCTTGCAAGATTTCTACCTGTGGCTGGTGGTGTATCATTGAACACACACACTCTTTCAAAGCGCTCTTAGTTGATGTGGGTCCACTCCACTTATTTTTAGATAAAGATTTTGTGATTCTCTGAAATGAGCTCCCAGGCAAAGGCACAGCTAACCCCGATGCCTCTGATGTGTGCACAGCTACTGTCACCCAACAAGGACTCTGAGCATCTATTCTGTGCTCGGTTCACTCTTCCAGTGCTAGAGATAGCGCTCCACCCTCACAGAGCATGCATTCTACTCGGGGAGACAGTCATTTGTTAAAAATAAATGTAAATAAGTGCTAAGGAGAAAAATAAGTTAGTTACACTAGAATAAATGAAGTCATTAAATAAGTCTGGATTCTTGTGTGGTTTAATCAGTCCTACTATTTTAACACTGACATATCAAAAGAAGTTACTAAGTAATAAAATCTAACCCCTAGCTTGAGAAATAAATAAGATAATCATTGCAAGAACGGCAAAATAAAAATAAAGTCACCCCTCTTTGCTCTTGACAAAAATATTTTCAGCCCTCTGTTAGACAAACCGATCATATTCCTTACCTTTGCCTACCTTACTTTCCTGTTCCAATACATACAAGTACTTTCAAAAGCAGAAACCACAAAGCAATGTAAGATGGTCACCTGTGAATGGGGTGCTTTGAGTCCTCACGGGATGGCGACTGGCAAAGGCAGCCTCCTCTCTCCCCACAAACGGGGAAAGCACAGTCTCTACAGCAGGTGTCTCCGCTATAAAAGAGTCAAAGTCATCCTCCTCCTCTTCTAGCTCCTTCTTCCCCTCCTTCTCCTTTTCTCCTTTGCTCTCTTCTTCCTTCCCTTCTTCCTCCTTAGTGAGAAGCAAGGGATCAGGTGTGGGGAAATTCTGTTCCATCAAGCCCTCGGTGCTGGAATCCAGCTCTTTAATGATTTGGTCATACTGGGCAATGAGATCCTCGCTCTCCAGGTTGGCGGCTGTCAGGTTAGAGCTGTCCTCTGCCTCAGGAGCAGGGGATGCTAACTCTGAGTTGGATTCTGTGGCTGCTTCAGGTTCCCTCTCTTGCTTTGGCTCCATGGGCTCACTGTGAAATGGGTCTGAATTGTCCCTATTGCACTCCTCCTCTGAATCTGTCGCTGGCTGGGTGCTGAGGAGGGAGCCGTTGTTGATGGAAACACTCTGAATTTCATCCTGGGCTTCAGCTGGTGGTCTAGCAGCTTCCTCCTGAGAATCCTTCGCGTCCTCGGAGTCCTTCTCAGCACACAGCCTGTACACCATCACATCATCCTGAAAGTCTGACTCTTCTATGTAGGACCCTTTGAAGAGCAGGATGGCATTCTTCTTCATCTCCTGGATGTGTTTTGGGGGATCAATGGGTGCTGGGGGGCGTGAAACCTCCAGATCATCATAAGGCCCAGGGGAGCCCATGTCAGCCCCTGAGGAGATTCCAGTGTCATAGCTGTCATCCCATTCCAGCTCTGTCTGGCTCTTGTCCTTTCTGGGAGCTAGCTGAGGTCCCGTCTTCCTGGGGAGTTGTTGCGGGAGCCCGAACACAGGGCAGGCCGAGCTCACACTGCCCTCCTCCGTCAGACCCTGGAGAAACGTCTCAGGGTCGGGGGAGTCGCCATCATACAGGGCGGACCAGACACGGCAGTCCCTCATGCAGCGGAGGATGTTGGTGTGGGCCTCCCACAGGTACTGCAGGTAGCTGATGTCCAAGGCTTTCCCATACTCCACAATGCAGGCTGACTGGGAGAACGCTTCAGGGAATGGCCACTCCACAGGTCCTGCACAGGAGGCAGAGGTCCATTAGAACAAGGGAGGTGTGGCGACAAAGGTAGTGGATGGGGGTGTGATCCATTTAGGCTAAGACTGTGTCTTGCTAGCTACTTTGGGTCTAATTATATCTGATTAAACAACCTCTGAATAATATGGTTAGATTGTAAGAAGGAAAGATTAATAATAGAAACTCTACCCTCACAGAAGATAGAAAACCAATATAACCAGTCAATAGTGGCTATAGCCAATGGAAATCTATTATCTGGTACGAGTCATTAGAGAAAGAAGAGCTGATGATAGCAATCTCTCAGGTTGTTGAGAGGATTAAATTAGGTAATACACCTGATATAGTACCTGCCACAGAATAATAACCTTAAAGTTTTTTACTTTGAATCTAAAGTGGAAGGCTGATAATCCATGAATTTGAGAACCAGACTTTTTGTAGAAAAATCCTGGGTTTTTAGAAAAGCCTATTAACTCATTCTGCCTTCCTGGGGACTATCGAGGATGCTGATATTATCAAATGGTCTCTTAAAGTAAAATCATATTCACTACAAAAGTCATTTTAACCTAAGAATGCTGCTCATGTTACTATGACTGCCTTTGATGTTAAAAGTTCCAACTTCACTACTGAAATAGCTGTGAAAATATCTTCCTATAAGTTTACATTTTCCCTCAAAAGAAAAAGACTGAGGGAAAAATATATAGTCTATCATTTCTTAAACATCTAGTATGATGCAGGTGCTTTATCAATGCTATCTAAGTTAATTCTCCCAATGATCCTGTATGGTAGATATTATTTTCTCCATTTTCAGATAAAGAAATTGAGGCTCAGAGATGAAAGAATGCCCAACCCAAATTGTGGAAGAGCCACAATTCAAGCACAGGCAATTTCACACCGACCTCCATTCTTACTTCAGTGCCACATCTTTGCAAGCCTCACGTCTCTTCATGCTCTAAATCTCTACCAGACTGGGTCAGAATTGAGCCTTTAAGAATACCCATTTCCAGGGCATTAGGGTAGACATAATTCATATTTTACAGCTCTACTGCTAAAACGTTAGTGTTTATCTCTTATCTATGTTATGTAAAAAGACATCAAATACTACTACTAGCAATATTTATTGTGCACTTACTACATGCCAGGCAGTCTTCTAAGAGCTTTACATGTCTTCACTTGCTTTCCTGAGAATAACCCTTTGAAGTAGGTACTATTTTACAGATAAGAAAAAAAATTTAGAAAACTTAAGTAATTTGCCCAAGAAAGTAGTAGAACCAAGACACAGAACCAAGATGCAGAACCTGAATCTTGGCTCTGCTACTTTCTTGGGAAAATTATTTACCCCTGTACAGTAATTACTCTGGCTAGCTAGCTAGCTATGTCACCACACATCCATTAGGGCATTTATCTGCTGTAAGGCAATTCCAGGGGCAGGAGAGTAGAAAGAACATGGAATCTGGAACCAGAGAACCTACTTAGCTGTATAACCATGAACAAGTCAATTCCTCTCTGAGTTTGTTTATTCATCTGTAAAATGGGAATACTACCTTCTTCAAAGCATTAAAAGTGATCACACAGGGAAAGAAGTTGGCAAGTTATGGAGAATCATAGGTTTAACTTGAATTTTGAATTCTGAGGCAAGGCTAGCCACAGAATCATTCTTGAAAAATCTTTCATAGTTAATTTAGAAAAGACATCAATTTTTAAATATGTTTTTAAAACAATTTTTAGGTATGAAAATACAAAATATCCATACTAACCTGCCTAATAGGAAAATACAATTAAATTATATAAATTGCTAATTTCCATGCATCTTTATATAAAGACAAAGGATCAGTAAGACAACCTTAATTTCTACAAATTACATTAATATCAAACATACTGACATTTTCTTAGTCAAGTAACCCAGCTTTTAAATACACTTTATCTAAGAAAATTATAGCTGGGTGGACAGAATGACATTGTTGACATGGATATCAGAATACAAACTGGAAACGCTTGACTCAACACCAGGACTGGGGATTTCCTAGTGGTCACAGGACATGCAGAAAGTTCCTGAATTGAAACAGCCATATGACCATCAAAGATACACAAATGCCCCCTTGCTCCAGCTGCCTGCCAGAGAGCCAAGGTTGACAGAGATGGCCATTTCAATTTTGCTTGTATGAGGGGAACCATAGCTGGCAAATAGCACCGAGCATCATAACCCCTGTAAAGTGTTTATGGCAGCCTTCCTCATTAGGTCAATCAAATGCATGCGATTCCGCTGTCATATCACAAATTTCAAGTTTTATAGTCATATACAATAATACGTAAATCCTTATGACAGATTTCTATAAGTGGCTCATTTTAGAAATTAAAATAAGGGCTGATTCTGTCTCAGTAATAGCCATCTCCACACCTCTCACCCCTGTCTTGTTTCTGAAGACAAGCTAGCACACGTTTTCACATTTTGACTCTGAGGATCCCACTAGAAAGTCCACATAAAATAAAGATCTGGCAACACTATGTAATGTCTGGGCACCTCAATGAACACTGATTACAACGTGTCCATAACTCCTTATAAAGCAGAAAAGGATCCCAACTAGTCATTCGTAAAAGAAATGGGACCCACTACATAATTCCCTGTCCACCCAAAGGGACACACATCCCAAGGCAAGATGAAATGGCATCCTTTGGTTTAAAGATCATCACTAGCGAGTTCCTACCTGAAGTGTCATGCATACACTTCGACCAGAGAATATAATCCCTCTCTTGGTTCCCCAGCGTCAGAGTGATCCCGCTGGAGCAGCAGACAGGAGTCAAGGCAAGCAGCTTGGCCGCAGAAACAGAGTAACAGTCTCTCTCCTTCACAGCCCACCTCTGACTCAGCATCATGTGATTGCAGGGGATCAGATACCTAGAATGACAAAAAGAACCAGCGTTTGGTCTCTGCAATGTCTTGAACCATTACTGGGACTAACTAAACCATAACAGGGACTCCTTGTGGCCAGGGGCAGACTCATCCTCTCCCAGCTCTCAACTGATCATCTCATCAGCCACCAGGGTTTACTCCCTAGCTTAATTTCTTCTGAAAGAACATCCTCTTTACAAAGTACTTAATATTCTTTACAATTTAGTCTCCAGGAACTTCTGCATCTCTTAAATGATCCCTCTTCACTTCCATGCCTTTGTGCCCACGGTCACCTTTACCTGGCCTGAGATTTCCCCTTTTCTCTGCCTGACCAACGCCTTTCATTCTACAAAGTCCAGCTTCAGTGTCACCTTCTTTGAGAGGGAGCTAATCCCTCCCTCCACTACGCTCATGGGCCTCTATTAAGCACTATTACCTTGTATCACGATTACTTCAGTGTCTACCTCCTCAATATAATGTGCTACCACAGCAAGGAGTTGCTTTGATCATTTCTCTTATAATCCCAGAAACTCTGGCTCATCGCAGGCACTGAATGGCAACAGCAAACAACCACTCCATAGTGTAAACCTTTTCTTTACATTCTCACGGGTGACCAGGAGAAAATATAATGGAAAATGACTCATTGAGGATCACTGGGCCCCATTTCACACAAAACACTTTTGGTTGGTGATCAAAAGCATCTTAGTATCATTATGAACCTGGGGACAAGAAAACCTGAGCAACCATTTCTGACACACCTGGAGCACATCAGTGGGCTTCATGGCTAGAATAAAGTGTGTTTAAATGACTTCTTTTCTTAACAGGGGAAAAAAACATACTGCTTATTTAAACAAAATGGAGCAAATGGGATAAAGAACTTATAGCCAGAGCCCAGCATCACATACGTGTGCAGGAGCCAATTACAGATGAGCCCAAGCCCTTATGTGAACAATCACAACCCTTCAATCAGCCAGCATGTTTTTACTTCGGTATTCGGCATTTGAGAAAGAAGCAGTGCAGAGAAAAACAAGATAAGATTAAGCTTTTCATTAAAAAAAGATAAAAAGTACGACTTTCAGGACATGTCTTCAGGCCTGTAAACATTCAACCATCTCCCACACCTCCTGCTGATCCAAATGAGGAAAACCTAAGTTGATATTCACAACTAATCCACCGCAAGAACCAGAGTCAGAGAGGGAAGAAAGATTCCGTTCTCTTTGTGCTACTTGATACTGAAGGTTTTAATAATACTTTCCAGGTATGATATGGCAAACTTGCCACTTAACCTTCAGTTCTCAGAAAAGGCAAACCATCTAGGTAAGGCGGTCCTCATCCCCTCCTCCCACTGTCCCAATGGGCAGATATATATTGTGAACCTGCTATCAGTAAGAACCAGACACACCCTGCAGGTCTGATGTGGTGGCATCTGTTTTCATAAGTGCAGTTTCATGAAAGTAGAAGGTTACAAGAACAAAAAGGAAAGTACGGAACAGGAGGCAAGCCTGTTCTGATTCTTGGTTTAGTTTTGGGGAATTTAGCAATGAGGAAAAATGGATGTTGCAGGCAGAAAATAAAGGAGCTCTTTTCCACAAGGATATCTGTGAGTAGAGACGCTCTGGTAACCAGAAATAACACAGGAGAGAGAAGCATTCTCCCACCTCTGTGTGAACCTGCCAGCTGTGAACAAAGCACAGCTGGACCCCAGTGGGCACCCAGAGAAGGCAATGCTGCTCTAGCACCACAGGAAGGTGCCAGGGTACACAGCAGGAACAGGGGCAGCGGGTTGAGGGGTGGGAAGGGAAGGTAGCAGCAACAAAAGGGATCGGAGCAGGAGAGGGGACCATGGCTGATGCTGCTGTGGCAACCATGGTGGGAGATTTGTTCATGCATATATGTAAGACTCCTCATTTGGGGGTGGGGTACAGTGCCTCATACCCGCAATCCCAGCATTTTGGGAAGCTTAGGTGGGAGGACTGCTTGAGGCCAAGAGTTCAAAACCAGCCTGAGCAACACAGCAAGATCCTGTTTCTATAAAACATAGAAGAGTTAGCCGAGTGTAGTGGTGTGCACCTGTAGTCCCAGCTAGTCGGGAGGCTGAGGTGGGAGGATCACTTGAGCCCAGGATGTAGAGGCTGCAGTGTGCAATGACTACACCACTGCACTCCAGCCTGGGGGACAGAGTGAGATCCTGTCTCTAAAAAACAAAAACAGAGAAACAAAAAAGATTTCTCACTTGGTGATCCCTAGAAGTGATGGGTGATACTTCTGTGTTAGGTTGGGGGTTTAGGGGCGGGTCCAAGGTTTTCTATGAGGTGGCTGGAGTCAGAGCTGGAAAAATCTGTCCTGTAGCCATTGATGTGAACTCTTCCCATAGGCTGGTGAGGCCTAGAGAAATTCCGATTACACAGGATTTATTGTATCCTTATTTTGGTCAT